AGAAAGAACAATGCCGAGGGTGATGAATCTGGCCTGTCTTGAGTGAATGTGATTCCTGGACTGCCAAAGTTAAACACCAACTTAGGAGCGGGATAATCCCTGACGGCCGTTTTGCAGGTTGACAGGGGGCTCCCCTGCCCCTGGCTCCTCTTGTGCCCTCTGCTCGCCTCGCTGAGTGGCCTTTTGTCGTCCCCGTTCATGTTGCTCCCCCTCAAGAACGGTCCCACTATCGATGCCCATGTTCTAAGGTCATGTCGTTCGCTGACTTGCTGTCTGTATGGGCGCGCTTGTGGGCTTGCTGCTGTCGTATGTACCTGCATCTCTGGACCCATCGAATTGCGTCGTTCGTGCCTTTGGTGTTCCCGTAATAAGAGTAGACGGTTCGATACGATGTGTGCTTGGGCGCTTGCTTCATGAGGTATCTTGGGCGAGCCAGCCATTACAGTGATCGCATAGAATGAGGCTTGAGATATGATGTCGAGTAACTCGCTAGAGTTCAATGTTTCCCTTCAAGGACGCCCAATTAGGAAAAGTTTATCGTGTCCTCCGTTTTCTTATCCTGGAACTTGTTTAATTCTGGCCTCGGGGCTCCCCCTCCCTTGCATGGCTCTTGTCTTCGTGCCTGAGGTGAGCTTAGCTTGCCATTGGATCCCCATAAGGCAGTCCCAGTCCAGTCCAGGTTCAGGACCTTCCCCAGTTCGTGCAGACCACACAGTACCACACCATTAGGTTCAAGAGGCAGGTACTTCATGGCACTTGCGTTTTGCTTGTGGTTGTGCTGGCTTACAAGTTCCTTCCACTCCCACTCCCACCCCCTCAGGTCCCCTTCTACAACCGCTGTTGCTTCTTCTGCTTCTTCTTCTTCTGCTTCTCGACAACCCAAAATACGCATTTGTTGTTCTCTTCTGGTTTTTGTTTGTATACGCGCCTCTTTTCTGGCTCAACTGTTTCTCTTTGCCTAGTCGCTCGCTATTTCATATACTGTCTGTCTGTCTCGTAGGCTTCGGCTTCACACTCACTCATTATCCCGAATCGCTCCCTCAATTGTCACTCTTTGCTGCCCAATACCTACACTATACTTTCGCCACCACCAACGTCCCGCAGCTACTTCTACTTTCCGTTCTGGGCAACAAGCTGTTAACGTTATACCGGGCCTCTTACTGTATGAGTTGATATTTGCGCCATATCAGACGGAACTTTTTGACTGAGCTGCGATCTACGGCATCCAAGACGGGAACCCGCATTTCATCACATCCCACCTCCGGTCAGCCTCGGTCTGGGTTACACATTTTAAACGCACGAACACATGCCGCGCAATTCTTAAACGAGACCTTGTCCCAGGATCATCCCCAAGTTCTGTCATACAAAGGTGTTCAAGTTACCGCCTGCATTTGAGCAGCACGGTACCCTACCTATGCCGCTCTGTTCTGCATATCACCAGCAGACCCTCTCTACACCGACGCCTACCGTTCAACTTGCTGACTATAACGCATTGCCAAGTCATTAAACTTACCGCGCCTTTAATATTTCGCCAATATGTCCTTCAGAGATTCGTTCATGACCCATAGTGGTACTCTAGAAGCGCTTCAGAGTCATCATGCACCAACACGAAGAAGTCGTCCTCCGGATATTGACACAATGGCAGCTGAAGAGAATCGCGTGCCCTTGAAAGCTGAAAGGGCTAGCAAAAGAGAATCGAGGTTAGGACTCCGAAGTTTATTCAGTCGATCAAAGACGCACTTAGCCAGTCCTGAAACGCCATCATCCTTTGGAAGCCGTACATCACTCCCTGAAACGAACCCTTATTTTCCAGCCCAGCCCGATGCTGTGTTTGACGATTTGCCCTCGTCCCCTCGCAGCCCGCGCCCTTTAGCTACCATGTTCGAAAGTCAGCAAAGTCCACCAGCTCAACCACGTCCTGTTGGCCTTGTCAGAAACCAGGGGTCTGGCAAACCTGGGCGTGGGCCACTTACAACATGGCATCCTCCGCCCCTGTTTAAAGCATTCCCACAGGCTGTCAAACACATGACATTACCAGCTACGTCACTGGCACCCGAAGCTATTCTACGCATGCATGAGCGACGAGCTAGCGCACTGCGTGACGAAAGTGCAGAAGCGCCAGATGCTGAAGGGGCTCCTACCGAGAAGGCCAAGGTCAAGAAGAAGCATCGTCGCAATACCTCGGGCCATTTCCCAAAGTTTGAATGGACCAACAAGATTTATGTTCTCGTGACATCCGGATATTTGCTGCAATATGCAGCAGAAGGACCTTTCGACCGGCTGCCTGAAAGAATATTGCACCTGAGCAAAGATTCTGCAGCATTTGCAAGTGATGTGATCCCTGGACGCCATTGGGTAGTCCAGGTCTCTGCAGCTGCCGAGTCTGATGGGACAACATCATCAGACTCTCGTTCTTTATTCTCGCGATGGAATTTCCGGGCTACTGAACGACGCCATGCCTCCAACTTCCTCATGGTATTTGAAACTGCCGAGGATATGGAAGGCTGGATCTCAACATTGCGCCGTGAAATCGAGGCACTAGGGGGGAAGAAGACACTTACCGAGACAGGTAAACCAAAGGCCGAGGACGAAGTTGCACCACTACGAGAGAAACCTAGCCAAAGAACTTTGGTAGTACGAGACCCTAATCGGTTATCACGCATAGCAAGCTCCAGCTCCCAGAGCCCTCAAAGTCCCGACAGCTTTCTGCCTCCACAAAACCTACAATGGCAAAGTCAGACGCAAACCAACCGCTCAGTCACAAATATTGCTGAGCCTGAACCTACAGCCGATCAACCTCTTGATGATATTTCGACGACAAATAGCTTCGTATCGCATGATGGCAGGCAACTGGAGAGTTTGCGAGAAAATTCGAACCGCCTTTCATTCATCTCATCCGGCCAACGGACAGTCGTGACTTCTGCAGGATCATCACCAGCGTCTTCACCAACCGTCGATACCTTCCCTGCAGCTGCTGAGCACAAGTTGTCGCTGGAGGAGGCCAAACTTTCACCAGAGCCGAAACCTAGGCCCAACGCTGCAGCTATTCTAGACCGAAGACAGTCTATGCAAGTTCTCACCCCCTTTGTCGAACTGCAAGGAGGACCCATCAACCTACGACCGCAATCTAGCTATGGATCTGGAGCCGCTGATTTGAAGGCCCCAACACCTAACTTCAGTGTACCCAATTCGTCGAACCGGAGATACTCGTATGCGAAGACTATGGCCCAGGAATTCGGCATGGCGCCTTCGTCAGGTCCACTAGAGGTGCGATCTTTGGGTCGCCGAGCACCACCAACGACGTTACCAATCGCGCGGCCTTTATCCATGGTAGCTGACCAACCGTCGCCAATGGAGGACATCCACGAACGACCAGTGACGCGACATGGAGACGAAACTCAGCCAACCATTCCAGTAGAAGATGATCTACCGTCTCTGCCAAATATTCCTACTTCATATGAAATGACATCGCGACGTTCGAGCCTGGTACCAATAGAAGAACCAATCGTCGAGATCAGCCGGCCAGGCAGCTCGCGCAGACAACCGGACATGAGGCAATGGCGCAAATCTGAAAACCCCAGTGTCATGGGACGTAGTATTCCTAACTCAACTCGGCCCAGCCTGGAACAAAGAACTCGTTCGCGATCTTTTCTTGGGGGAACGGAGGAGGCAGCTCGTCGCCGTGCTTCCATTGATAATTATAGCGATGCACGAAGTGACAGCATGTCAGTCAAGGGTCGGTCACAAAGACGGGCGAGTATCCAGTCAGTGATGTCCGACCGTGCATCACAGTACAGTGCCTCAGGGGACCTCCCGCCCCCGATGTCGCCAGAGTCGCTACCTCTTCCTGCACCTCCACCCACAGTGCCCCTACCCCCTATTCCCGCATCATCGAGCAACCCTCTTTTGAGGCCTGATATGAACGGGAAGAGCCTTTTTATTCGAAGGAGCATGCCTCACCTTGGTGAAGTGCCTCCACCAGTGCCACCACCAACCTGTGCGCTTCCTCCTCTTCCACCCAAACTACAAGTCAAGGCCTGAATGCCTTGATTCATGCTATATACCCTTTCCTTGTTTTTGCTGTTACGAACTTTGACGGAGCGATTGATGTGGATTCCGTGATTATCCGAAACGATACTGGGCGTTTTGGAACACTGTTGCTTTTTATTCTCTTTTGTATCGAGACAAAAATTCTCTTCTGGTCAACACACTTGTAAAATATAGAACGGTCGGGCTGGAAGGAGCATTTCCGGTTATGCGGCCACGTCTTGGGATGATATCCATGTATAGGCGTACCAAAGGAAAAGACTATTCAAGGCTACATATAGCCAATAGTAGTGATAGAGTCATAAGAACAAGTCTAATGTTGTTTTCAAAGATGTTGCCTCGGCACCTGAGTGACGATGATGTAGTGGATGACAGCGACTTTACGTAGAGCAACAGGGAATTGTTGTTGCTATACGCTATCCAAGGATAACTTGAAAGTGAAGAGACGTTCATAAGACAGAAAGCTACTGGTTAGAGACACAAGTTGGCCGATATCGAGAGCAGTCTTTGTTCCTGGGCTTATATGAGGTCTTGAGTGGTCTCCACTTTTCAATGAGACTGCTGCCGATACCAAGATATAGGCAGCGGAGGTATTGGAATGATGAACTATAAATACTTGAAATATTTATATTCTGATGGAAAACATAGAGAGAAACACTCTACTTTGTTCGATTTCTCGCGTTCAAAATTTCAATTAAACGCGTGCAGGCCCATGACGCCCAATTAGAAAAAAAGGACGTGGCTGGGGGGGACGTGCAGCATCTTTAATGGATGGAAATGCCGAGCTGCGTCGTGTTGTCCCAACTACAACACAACAACCTCATTAATTCTTCACAACTCTATCCCTCTCAAAAAACCAAGAGCTATACCCTTTTGCTCTTAGGATCTACTGCCATGCTATTTCTAACCATATAATAAACCTAATATCAACACCACATCAACCGCCAACCAAAATGCCAGCCCTTCCTCCATCGTCAACAATACCCTCAGGGTACAATTCTCTCTCTGTCCGCCAGAACGACGACTCGAGCAGCTCTTTCACCGCTGTGCCAACATCCTACAAGAGCACCGATAACTCCCTCGCTCCCGGTGTCGTCGCCGGTATCGTCCTCGGCTCCGTCGCTGGTTTTCTTCTCCTGCTGTACATCATCTACATGCTCCTGCACCGCGGCCCAGTCGTGAGAACAGTCGATGGCGCATCAACTGTTGTCTCAGGCGGACCTATGAGCACCGTCACGGGCGACACATCGACATATTTGAGTTTCCGCAGCAGAAGAGATCGAAGAACGAGGAACAGATCCCGGAGTAGAGCTACGTCTAGATCCAAGAGGACGAGATCGCGCACGACGGTGAATTCGAGGGATAGGAGTCGAAGACGAACATCGCCGCTTGTGGGCGATAGTCGAGGAGAGCGAATCATTGTTGATCCTCCTGCGCCGCGCTTCGTTCAAGAATCGACTATCTCTTCGGATAACGAGATTGTTGTTGAGGAGGAGCACAGTGTTTCTCCACCACGACGATCACGACGACAGAGTCAAGACCGATATCGTCGAGAGCCGTTGATGGGAGAGGGATATCGAAGGGACTATTCCCCAAGAGATTACTCACCTCGGAGGGAGAGCAGACGGTATAGCCGAGACCGATAGAAGAAGATGTTAGCGACGACGACTTGCGTATTTTATTGCTTCAGTTTGTTTTAATTACGACTTTACGACATATTTTGGACGTTGGATGCATAGATCGATTGGAGTATTGAATGGAGGAGAAAGGATTCACTACGACGTACATTGGAAAGAATGAGTAATATGCACAAAAGGAACAGAAGAGAGGAGAGGAGAGGAGGTCAGATTGAGCGTCAAAATCTTTCGAATCGAGGCTTTCATTTCGATAGATACCCGGATAGTCTCTGCAAAAGCCACTTGTATATAGACAAAAGATTGGTACCATCAACTCATGACCTCCAATTTCATCTTCTCTATGAGCGGTATATCTGCTTCATGGCATCTCATATCTACCCAGTTGCTCCATAAGGACTTCATAACTCACCATGATAGTAAACAGTGAACCATCGACTTATTCATGAATTTTCACCACATCTTCCTGCATCGACATCTACTTTTGTAACCTCAAAACAGAAAGGCACCCTCGCCTTCTGATGTACTGGAACATAACCAAATGCCATAAAGAGCCACCCATTTCACTGAGCAGACCCGCATCCGCAGGTAAGCAAGAAATCAAGCCAACGCGCCGGCAATAAAGACAGAAACAGATCCGACAAACATCTTCCTACATGTTCATGCCGCCATCTTGGCCTCCACCTCCTTGGGGACCGCCAAAGAAGAACGTGTCAAAGGGGTTCATCTGTGGTGCCTCACTAAAGTCATGGTGAAGACCCTCCCAGTTCATGCTTAGACCCATATCAAGCTGCGACTGGTCCATGGCAGTGAAGTCTCCGTTTGATGACGCGCCCAGATTCTGGAGGAACTCCATTGTTTGAGCATCTGGGTAGTCCTGTCCATTAAATTGCTGCTGTCCACCATAGGATCCTCCACCGTTCGGTTGGGACGTCAGTCTTCGAGGGATAGGTGAAGGGGCCATTCCCGATTCGATAGGCGATCCCTCTTGCTTATGACCAGAGTCCGTAGGGCTTGGTCCACCTCGACTTCGCGATTTGAGCAAATACCCCTCTGTTGATCGTGCCATTGGGGGCGATGGCTGTGCATTCCCGTCGCCTGCAACAGACAGTGTAGGAGATGAGAGCGAGTCAGATAGCGACAAATCAATCTGATAAGACGTCTGATCTGAGCCCTGCGGACGGTGACGTCCTTGCCCCGTTCCTTTTGATGAGTCCGGCGGTGTGTTCCACGCAGAACGTTGTCTTCGGGCCGTTGGGGCACCGAAACCGCCTGTTGAAGAGGCCATCTTAATGGTGGCCTTGGCTGTTCGATCAAACGCATCTCGGCACGTCTCGGCGGGAGGGCACTTGTCGATCATATCTGTGAGAACCGATTTGGCAGCGAGGATAGTAAAGTCCACTTCATCCATGCTCTAGATCCACTATTAGCTCATTTCTCCGAGGACTATGGGCTTCGTTAAAGCTTACCAGGCGACTTCGTACGATGGGCGAGTGCCAAATAGCATAAAGGTACGATATTCCTGCCATGAACAGGTGATGGGTGGAAAGATAGGTGTAGCTCACCAACCCACTGAGATGTAGTTGTCTATATATGCGGAGGATCTTTTGGCCTGCCTCTGCAACTTTCAGGTAGATTCGATCCTCGTCTTCACGAAGCTCTGCTTGGAACGCCGTTGGGCTGTTTACCTCATTTGATGAATTGTACTCGCCCTCGAACATAGCAGGAACACTGAGGCTCTGACGATAGAGCATTATGATTGCCTGCCAGTAATTGAGCTCCAGAAACTCGGTTGAAAACATGACACCCGTCTCTTGTCTCGATGGTGCTGATGTCTTCCACTGATACAGCCTTCGGTCGATATCTATGCGCCATGAACGGAACGAATCAAACTGCACCAGGAAGGGCGAAGGGAGATGAATATGCATATCAGGGAACTTGCCCTGCACACCCGCCTTGGCGATCTGAGCCTGATTGTACTGCAACACTTGAAGAATTTCCGATTGCAGCAGCCTCAGTCGGAAGTAATGATGGGCAACATGCTTGTAGCTGGGTTGGAGCTGATCTGATGGTGGATCTATAAGTCCGGTCGGTGTGATATAGTCATCGTCCAACAAGGACGGAAACTCAGTTGTGATGACCTGATCGCTGACGCCGAATGGTCTTCCAACGCATGTGCTAACCAGACGATCGAGAGAGTACGTGCACCACCACAAACGGCGCCTCATATCTCGCACCCACAACTTCTTTCCCCGGGTTTGTGCTCCATTCTCTCGGGATCCAGCACTATCAGTCTGTTCACTTTCGTTAGGTAAGGAATCAATTTCCCTGTCATCCTCGTAGTGCAGGCCGAGATCAACTGCAAGTCGAACAGCAACACCAATAATGTACCTAGTCCGTGTCAGTCAGGTGAGTTCACACACCACATACGAACAATCAGCACATACCAGAGGCCAGGGGGAACAGGTCGAAGCAGAGCAAAATTAGCCAGCAGAAGTACGGCTTGCAGAACTTCTAACCCTCCTCCGCTGTTGCTTAAACACGATTCTAGGTGCACGATCGCGCTCGCGTGATACTCCTCTGGCTCACATCGACTTTTGTTGTCTGCGCCAGCATCGCCAGATGAGTCAGATTTCACTGGTTCGCCAACAATGACACCACAGCCGATGGCGAAGACCATATTCAGCAAATAGAGCTCCCGCGAGCCTCGGGCCGGATCCTGAGTGGCATATATGCGTTCAAACGTCTGCATAAACTCTCCTCTGTGCAGAATTGGAATCTGAGGGTTCGAGTGTTCAAAATATAACCTCACGAGCCGCAAGCCGACTTCTTTACTAGGGAAACTGGCAGGTTTGATAGAAGGCCTGGTATGAAGGCCGAAAAACGAATCGCGCAGCGAAGCTCCATTGCCGCTTGTTTGCCGATGATTCCTTGGATCATTCGGATTCGTTTGACCAGAGGATGAATATTGAACTGCAGCATATACGACCCGGGCGAACGAGACACCAGATGCGGATGCCAAAGACCGCGGTTTCGATGGGCTCACGATGTTGAGGAACCCTGATTGGCCCGACTTCTTCTTAAGCGATTCCACCGCCTGGCTCTGAGGCCTACGGTCACCGGCTTCTGATGGGCCGGAATAACCTGTTTCGGTGGCGGAGTTGATACTGGCGGTGTCGGTGCCTATTCGAGAACACAATTCGAGGTTTTCGGCTGGTGGGAAGGTGATGTTATTGGCGCTAAGCAGGTTCTCAAGCTGCTCGACTCGGGTTTCGAGATAGTAAACATAACTGCGCGCAAGGTCAATATTTACTCATTAATCGACTTTGACGGTTTTGTAGCGCGTCGTCGAGGTCTGTGATGACCAAAAGATCACATCTCTAGACAATCGCGCGCTTGCATTGTCTTATCGTACCTGCGTGGGATTTCCTTCTTTGTGATGGGATCATAGCCAACACAAGCAACCCCTGCCTTGGCGCAACTTGCGCAGCTCGGTAACTTCTGATCACAACGGTTTTTACGTAGGCGACAACGGTTACAGGCGCTGACGTTGCGAAAGTTACTGCTCTGGCCTGCCTTGGCCGCTACTGAGGGAGAGGCGGTAGTGGAAGATGCTGAAGCGCCGTCGGCTTGGAGACGGTCGCGCTCACGATCCTGGGGGCTCGGCTGTCCGTTGCGCGGCGATTCATCGTCATTCGAGTCTTGTCGCTGTCGCTTTGCGGGTTGCGAGCTCGGGGACGGAGGGCCACGCGCAGGCATTGTAACGGCCCGGCGGGCAACCGAAGACGGCGCCGATAAGCTTGCGACGGGGTCGGAGATGGAGAGAAATGGCTCAGGCGGAGTGACGCAGATCAGCCGGAGAAATCGATATCCAAGAGGTCGGTCTTAGGTATAGTAGGATGTCGTCTGTGAATTGATGATGGAGACGGAGAGAGTGGGTTTGAGCTTGCTTGAGCTTAGTCGGGGGACGGAGACGGGGGCGGAAGGTGGCAGGTGAAAGGCGGAACGGTAGATTGAGACTTCCGGTCGGGACTGCGTTAACAATTAATGAAACGAAAGAACGGGCGGAGAAGTTAAAGTAAGGTAAGCGCAGTTCTGAGGATAGTAACAGGAAGGCAGCTAGGTAGCTACTACTCCGAATGGGTGGGATAGATTGAGACAAAAAGGCAGGAGCTGGACAATTGAAGGATATGGATAAGGCGGGAAGGGATCGACAAGCCGCTGTAGCCGCTAACGTTTGTCAAAGCGCAAGGAGTTTGTCAACTGTATTAGAGCTGATATCTGATGAATTGGGGGTTCAAAGATATGAGAAGAAGCCCAGCCGAGCCCAGAGATCAAGTGGTTGCCGAACTGCCTAAATCTTCCAGGAGAGAATTGGCCACCCAGATTATCAGTCAGTCAGTCGAACATGGAAGCAACAGCTTTCTTTGCTGACTATTTGTTGTCTGCGGGGACCAACCAAGCTTGGCCCATGACTAGACCCCCAAAGAACAACGATTCTGGCTGTCAACGTCGTAGAGAGTCGAGACTAATTCGGGGCATGGACTAAGCGAAAATCATGGCAAGTGGTCCCTGAAAGAGGGGACCTATCAACTGTGCATACAGTTCCTCAGTATAAGGAGGCAATATCTCGTGGTGGAGGTGACGGTGGTTGATGGCCGTTTCTGGACGAGTCTGCGATGATGATAATTGTCACGATTGTTTCACGGAGAATGGAGACAGGCAAGGGTCTTGAAGTTTCCAGTTGTACATAAGCAATTAAAAGTTTTCAACCAAATTATACGGCACAAGGATCCATGTAGTAGTCGACGTCAAGATGGTTCAGATAATGGCTTTGTTAAAGAGTATAAGATATGATCCATACAATACTATAAGATACTAAAGACTCGATAACAATGCATTATCTCGATTCTCAAAACTGCAAACAAGCCACAAGAAAAAAAGCAAAGAAGGAAAGACCCTCTTCGTTGGCCAAAGTGCAAGTGCTGTCAATAACCAAACAAGGGTCCTTCCAGATTCATCCCAGTTTGAATCCTGTAGCGAGCAGGTGGGAGAAGGATGATTTCTCTACGAATTGAGTTCTTGTATTGGCCAATTTATTCGTCTCTCAACTCATCATTTCTTACAAAACACAAGGAAGAATGAAAGCCTTCAAAGTCAACTGCAAATCTGGGAATTAATATTCTTGGCATGCAGCATCTTAAAAACGCCTTGTTTATCATCCTGTCGATCCTCTCCTGCAAACCAGACTTGCAAGTTTGAGGCGCATCATGACAGCGAATCATCTTATCAGTGCTTGCTCTTGTCTTGTCTTCTTTGCCTTTCTTTTTATTTGCTGAAATAGTCACAGTGATCGTGATTTAAGTCTTGCATCCGAACTTGTCCGGCTTTATAACCGGTCCCCCTTCATCCTGCTCTCAGCTTTCGCCGCCAGATACCGCATCGGGGCATTGACAGCGGCACAGTGCAGTTGTATACATGCGACATCCCGTTTTTCAGTCTTTGATTTGAATATGTATTGCTTGTAAGTGAGAAGAGACGACAAAGAGGTTACTTTGAGTTATACTCGAATTCCTCTTATGTACCACGATCTTTCTACGCCGAAATACACTACTTACCGTATCATACTCAGTGAATATCTCGCTCGTCCGGCTCCGTTGACCTGAACCTTGTCAGCGGGCTTGTCTCTTGGACCGGATCGGATGCAGCCTGGCGGTTGGCTGCATCATCACCAACACCAGCCAACATCTCTTCCGATTCCCGATTTGAGATGCCGGGTCACCGTATTCGTACATAAGCTGCACGAACATGAATAAGGTCACGAAAGAAATTCCGAATTCCTGGGAACTCGGTCCATATCTCTTTATTACCGCTTCAACTATCTACCGATATATCCTCACGCAAACATTAAAGCGTCACACATGGAGGATCTATACTAATAATCTCCCCTACCACGATTTGTCACAGCCAAATCAATCACATCTCCCTCCTGCGATTTCTCTCTTTCGAAAGGTGTTCAAACCTCCTCAATTCGCAGCAAGGGTCCATCCTCTCCATCATTCTTAGCCTCTCTCCACACCACCCAACCTCACTTCAAGCTCCTAACATCCATTAGAGCGCACGAATAAACTGAAGCAGAAGATTTTGAAATTGATTAAACTCATACGATTTCCACCATAACTCTCAAGCAACTGCGATTCCCGACTGTAACCATCCAATTCAGCTTTGCGCGTATAGATTCGCCGCTATGAGCAGTTCCCCGTGTATCATCAGATCATGGGGTTTTCTTGGGCAAGGGTAAGGGTATTGTTACCTCATTTTCCTGTCCTCTTTTCTCGATGTCTTTCTGGTTACCGACATACATACATGTGAGTCTGTCTATGTATATCCTCTATAGGAAATTCACTTGCTGGCTGCCTGATGCTACGCTGCGGTTGCACGGGATATATCACGAGGTCAATCACAAGGTCTAAAGCAACTACATGCGACTACATGCATACTCAGGTACCTCGATTACTATGTGAAACTCTGTCATATGTATCAAAATAAGATGCATTGTTGTCTTCGGCCATGCCGTGTTACGCACGTTCCGTTCTGCACTTTGGCCGCTGCCATTCCAGCCTGCAGCATGCGTATGCGTATGTATGCGTAAGCATATCGAGCATCACCGTCTATGTGTATGTCTATGTATCTCCATGTCACTCAGGCACCGCGCAGAATGTAGTTGCATGCATATATCTTTGTTCAATGAGACGGCAGTCTTGAAATTACTGCCACTGACACTATCCATCCTTTCTTACACCGCCAGTTCCGCCCCGTGAGGTAGCCTGAACTGAAAAGCACAAACTCTTAAAAGTCTGAAAACAAACGCTACCGACATCTGCGAGGCCACCAGGATCCCCCATACCGAACAAACGCCTTCTAAACCTCCGGGGTCCTGTCGTTGACGATACGGCATGGGCTGGTGCCGTCGGCCGTGTAGCAAAATCCATTACAAAAATGTTTCCCTTCCCAAAATATCAATCATCCATCCTTCTACTTTGTCGTTGAATCCTTCGTCCCTCGAATGAATCCATAGTCTATGTTTCGTGAAATGAGTTCCCAAAGTTCATCCGTCTTCTTTTTTCCCTCTTGTTGTAAAACGCCTGTTCCATGCCTGATCGCTGTGTTGGAAGAAAAAAAGGGGGTATTTTTCCACATGGGCCTCGCATGCCCTTTATACAATTCGTCCCTAAAAGAAATGACGCCAGATTGTTTCGATTCTTCGCTTGCTCGAAACATTCAAACTCCGGTGAAAATCCAAGCTGTATGTTGTTGTTGCTTCATGCTGATTGTTTCCTTAAACGCTCTCCTCCTCGTCGTAGTCGGTGAAAAGACCCTCATCCAAGAGAGGATCCTCCTCAGGCAGCACATCGTCCTGAGGTCCGCCCTCCGTAATCTGGGAGCTGAGATATGCTCCAACAATGGTGATGAGTCCGCTGAACCACCAAGCCAGTCCAGAGTATCCAGTCTGAAGACCCCAAGAGTAAAGAAGTCCAGACAGGGTTGGGCCCAGAGCACGGCACAAGCTGGCAGTTGAGGCTGCAATTCCGTTGATCGTTCCAAGGACCTGCTTAGATGGTGCCGAGTTGGCCAGCAGGATTGCGTTGCTGGGGTATGCCATGGTGGAGAAAGTGCACTTCCAGATGACAAGGAGGTAGATAGCCGGCATTCTCATAGATTCGGGGAGCAGCACAAGATAGGGTGTGACCAGGTAGAGCGCAAAGTACGAGAATGCGAGGATTCGGAAGAGGCGGAGAGATCCAAGCCGTCGGGTAACTGGAGGAACGATGAGATAGTTGGAGAAGAGTGAGTAAAGTCCTTGCACCGACATGATGACACCGATCATCTTAGTCTCGAGGCCGAATCCATCGGTAAACTTGAAGGGGAGGTCGTGAACAGGGTGTTCAGGCCGCTTAGTGCTCAGGAAAACAGGGAAAAGCTGGTCAAAAGTCATAGTGTGGCTGTGATATGTGTTAGAGACTGCATGAAGCTTTCAGTGAGGCGAAACTTACAAGGCGAGAATGCCATAAGAGATGATGTTCATAATGACAGGCTTGGTGAAAGTCTTTGACTTTCGCACCACAATGGGTTCTAAGGGGGCTTCGTTCAGGGATTGTGCGTCAGGCTGAGGAGCAAGTCGGGGCGAATTCTCTTGGCTTCGGTAAGCAGGCAGGGCCTCGTCAGAGTGAGCAGAGCCAGGGCGAACACTGGTCGAGAGATACTGGACGTTTTGCTTTCCGTCAAGAAGAGCCTGCTTCTCGGGAGAGCGGCCTCGTCCGTTGCAGCTCGCAACTCCACCGAACCAGCTGGCGAGGTAATCTCCAATCTCACGTCCACGGTCTCGCTGGGACTTCTTCTCAGCATGGGTCTCATCCAGGAAGAGAAGTCCAATGATGACTCCGAAGAAAACAGTGGCGGCGCTGAAAAGATTAGGGAGGAGGTAGGGATATCGGTCCCAGATGGTTCCACGAGCGAAGATCTCGGGGTAGCTGATGCATGGTCGTGCGAGAGCTCCTCCAATCATAGGCCCAACGATCGATCTAAATAGGTAATCCAGTCAGCAACTGCTGTCAATGACTGCATGAATATGTATGGCTTACCCAATGCACCACACCATGGGCATGATAGTATAAGCTCGGGCTGGATGATCTGTTAGCCAAATTCTCATCTGATCTTAAGATTCAACTTACGTTGATGTTCCTTGACAGTGACAAGCTCGGCGACAGTTGTCTGAAGAACGCCAATGTTGCTGAAATATGTTAATTGAGCATTCTAAGTATCTTTCCCGAAAAAAACATACCCATTGAGAAGACCTCCGAGAGCGCGCGCAAAGAGTGCGACTGGCAGACTGGGGGCGAAACCAAAAACCAAGACACTCAGAGCAGTTCCCAGCAGACCAAAGAGAAGCACTGGCTTTCGGCCAATCTTGTCGCTAAGCCGTCCCCAAAGAACTCCTGTCGAGAATTCGGCCAATGTGAAAGCGGAGGTGACCATGCCGGCGTAAACTGAAATCTTGTTGGAATCATCGGTAATGTTGAAATCTTGGATCATGTAGTAGATGTAGGGGAAGATGGACATGAAGGCGATCGGTTCGCATATTCTGCAGCAGGCTGCCAAGTGTTAGACCCAGTGTCGCAAAAGTCATGTAAGCTGAGCTCCGTACCTAGAACAAACATCTGCTTTGCGGGGAATGGGGGAAGCGGCCTCTCATTGCGGCCAGCGGCTTCACGGTTGGCCGCAGTCATTTGACGACTCCTCGCCATGTTTTCTAGTTGTGATCCTCCCGGGAGGTATCGTCTTGTTCAATGGGTGTCCCCTGGTAAATCTATGTTCAACTTTTGGTGAAAATGGTGGCTCTGAACTATTCGCAAGTCTGATCGATCCGTTTCGTAAAGTCTAAGAGCATGAGACAAGTGGCTTCGGTAGGTTGCTGAGTATCGTCGAGTATGTGAGTGTGTAAGTGATGTGGTGTAGATGTCCAACCCAAGTAGCAACAGATTGAAGATGTTGACAAAGACTCAAGCTGAAGTGAGAGATAGAGAAAGAACACAGAATAAGAATCAAGGTGGCAGAGGGAGAAGGGAGACTAATTAAAGGGTTATAGAAGGTTCACGGAAGGAAAAGAGAAGGACCAAGATGGGGTGGATACACTTATAAGAAGTGTATGGAGTATGGAGAATGAGTAGGTGAGGTATGTATGAGGATGGAGTGTTGGTAGTGAAAGCGAAGGTGAGCAACACGCCCTCAGACTGACTGGGACTGGGACTGGGGTACATGGACTTGTCACAATGATCATCTTCTGGAGCAGAATAGAATTAATTACTAGACCCGAAGCTTGGAACCAGCGGTGACATGAGCGCGCCAAATGGGCAAAGGGCAAATCTCCTGTCGTGTCCGCGCTTCGCTGCGCTGCTCTGTGCTGTGAGATGCGGCGAACGGCCAAATTCTTGGGCAGTGGGGCTAGCTTTCAGGGCTCCCAGAGGCACCAGAGTTAGAACACCACGGGCAGCCATCCCAGTTTGACAGGGCGGACTTGGTCTTGGGCTGCAGGGGCTGGGTCCCAGGGAGACGGAGACGCAAAGGAGCCCTGGGAGACTAAGCGTATGTACCCAGCAAGTACTTCTGCAGGGGTATCCTTCTTCTGTCTCTGGTCCCCTGTAAGCCACTGGACGACGCCCACGGGGACGTGTGTCGAGCAAAACGCCATGGACTGACGGTTGGGTTCGAGCTTAATTGTTGGGTGCGAACCTGAATGGAGCTGGAAAACAAACCAAGCCAAACCAAATACCAATGCTAATAGCGAATAGTGCCGTCCCTAACTGCACCCCGGTATTTCCGCTGTGGCTAAGCGCATGTCCGAGTGTTCCCTTTCGTCAAAAGTCCTGTCTTTCCATGGACACATCATTCTGTTGTTTCGAAACTGGCTTATGTGTGCAAAACATACATCAGCAACCTGAAATACGGTCAACTGACTTCCATGTTATCGCATTGGCTGCATCAAACAGCACTAACCCGCACAGCCGCTGTAGAGGACAGGACAGCAGCGGCAGGCTTAGGAGGCGGTGAACGCAGTACAGTGAGTAATGAGCAACGGCCCCCGGGGGCTCGTCACACGGAAATCATCCCCGGGGTCGCCTCAGCCTGGCTGTGGAGCGATAATGTTACTAGGGAAGACCTCCCGGAAGGGGACCACACCTCTCATCCTCTTGGTGACGGGCAGAAAGTAATGAGATCCCAGCGGAGCCGACTTCCATCAGTCAGTCTAGTCAGTCACAGTCACTCAGTCAGTCAGCCAGCACCACCAATTGTCAAAGCACATGGCATGGCATGCCATGGGCCGTTATTCCAGCCTTGGCGTTGCGGCGTGCGATTTCGATGCGGCGCCTAATGACGTCGATTCGAGTAGAACAGAATCAGATATCAGTCCAGTGCCTGCTGTGATAGGAGTTGCGATGTTTTTGTTGTCTCTTTCATAGGTAGGTTGTTATTGTCGTCCCCCACGTTCCCAGCCAGCTCACCCGTCAGTCATAGCCAGGCGTAGGCATCCGTCCATCTTACATGGTATTTTCCTTGAATAGCATGCTGGCTCTGATGATGTGTTATTCGCTTGGTGTTTCTTTGTTCTTCTCTCACACCCACCGCCGGCCATTCGTTCCGGGAAGTCTGGAGCAAACATCTTATGCCGTACCTTGTAGCTCCTGTGGTGTTTTCCAGAACGATGGAGCACATAGTCAGCAGACGACTTCCATGCATGAGGGAGTCATTCGGGATCTGCCTGCATTGCCAGCAACGTCGATACACCGCAGCCTTGTCATACCTCAACCATGTTTCACTGCCCACTGCATACGAGCTCGAGAATGACGCGTAGGACAAGGACAAATTAAGTATCATGCTCTGATCGGTGTGCAAGACAGAGTTACCGGGATACTGACCAAGAGCTCGATTGTGATATCTTTAGATATCGCGAAAACGAGCTGCAACTCCAAACCTATCTTGTGCTTGTCACGAGGTCAAACTTACACAGGAGATTCCACCTCGGAACACGGAGTAAAAATTCCTTCTTGCATATCAGTCGGCCGAGAAAGGACATGACTAGGCCGAAAAGCCTAGGTGTAAGTGATGCCAAGGTCGCAGGAATCTGTATGTAGAATGTCGAACCTACTTCGTGACCGATACGGACACCATCCCCAGTCGAGCAGGGCCTCTCACCTTGGAAATTGCAAGGTTCCCCGACAGCGGCTCTCATGAAAGCTTCCCGACAGGCAAGGACAAATTGAAAATCTCAAACATGTTGCAGCCAAAAATTTTCAAGCCTGACTGACATAGGCGTGTCGTCCATCTGTCAGACACGTGGCTGATGTTGATGGTCCTGTACTAAGAAAATTTTGAATTTAGAGTCATATATGTCGGTCTGCCGCATCGTCATCGAAAATTTTCCCCAGGTGCATTAACGTCATACAAGCCAGGCGCCAATAGAAGCACACGACATATTTCTTTGAAGTGGAAGCCCTCGTTGACATCCCCGGAGCCCCATAAAGTAGGGTTAATAGAAGGGAGCCACCCACGGGTGAGGGAGCAAGGGAATAAACAATCGAGGTGTGAGATTTTGATCAGGAACCCGAGACATGGTCACCGCCATGGTGCACCGGACCCTTCGCCTACTGCTGGCACGTGGAGTAGCTGCTCCGGCGCGTAAGCCACACATTGTGAGCCCAGCACGGAAGACGAAACTGGCGGTGTTGGGCTTGAAAATGCAGCAATCAATGCAGCGGTTTCAAGTCAGGGCTCTCTGAACCTTGAAGCTGTAGGGTACAGTCTCCCAGTCTCCAGCGGCCCACGCCAATATCTGCGGCAAATGGATCTGACTCGACTTTGAGCTCGTCAGAGCAAATTGGCCCACTCGCACCCAACCCGCTGGGCCGTAAGCCCCGAGTAGCAAAGACTGCCGGAAGTGCAGCCGACTCCACAGATACAATTTAGATCGTCTTTAATTAGTCTGCAAACAGCTTCGAATGCTGGATGCGATCCTCTCGGGAGTCGCCCTTTTGTTGCAATCGTGCCTGTCCCCGTATATATGTACACCGAATGTCGGCATTTGAGTCTTGAGACAAGGCACGGGGCTGTATACTGCCGACCCGGGGAGATGCAAGGCAAGGCAAGGGCATCTTGACTTGTCAACTTTGTGCCAGCTCGCAGTCCAAGTCAAGGTCCGACTTCGTCTTGTGTCACAAAGGAAGTGGCTAAAATCTAGGCCTGGGCCCCCACTCGAAGCTCGCGGCTCCCTGTCACGGAAGCGGTATAGCACTGTATCACTCGCCTGTTTCACACGCGCCCGCGGCTCCTTTTGATATGTATGCATGATGTGCAGTAGGTGATTGAAAATAGACTCCAATGGTTACCGACGACGTGGACGCTTTCATCCGCCTGCCGAGTAGGTGTCAGATCCGCCTTGCATAGATGCAAGTCAAAGTTGTTGGAGTCATTTCGTCGGTGAAGCCTGAGACAATCATGACAAAAAATTTCTTCTTCTTCTTCCCTCCCCTCTCCCCGATAGTTTCACAGCTCTGGACCACCACCCAAATTGAACAACCTCGGCTTGGCTCAAATGGTTCGTCGCTCGCCCGCAGAAGAATAAGGTGTCGCGTCGGGCGTGGGTGAGTTGCACATCCATTGTCGTCATAGTCGAGCCCGGCGCTTCTCAGCCATCCAATAGCATTGGGTGCCTTTTCCATTTTGAATCCCTGTGAAGTCCCGGAAGGACTTCCTGGCTTCCGGCCTCGCTCAAGTGGATGCAGGGCAGTTTGCCGGTACAGCTAGGCACGCCGCGGGAGGTCTCGTGCTACCAGAAGGCTACTTTTCTTGGAGCCTGTCGCATGGCGCCCCGCCCAAGGGGAGAAGCCGAGTGGCCACGAGAAAAGAGCCGGACGAGCTGGCCTCAGGGGAAAAAGGGGGCGGCGGACAAGCGACCCGGTGGGCTGGGTTGATCTGATGCATCTCGTCGATTGTACAAATGAGGTAGTCTCGGTAAAGAAACCTCCCTTGTCGTTAGACTACGCAATGACAGATGGGCTAAGACACCCCCGCCTGTCTGCTGTCCAAGGGAAGAGAAAAGTGAGGCAGGCAGGCAAAAAAGAGAGAAGGCAGATGAGGAGCAGAAAAACCGAGTAGGGTGTGTTTCAGAAAAGCAGTGTGGGCGATGTCAAACCCAGCAGGCCGGGTGGCCCGATCCAAACGAATCGCTCAAGGCAGGGAGGGAGCCAGATACGATGCAATGTCTTGGAATTCGCTATGAAGTATCCGTATCGTCACATCCATCCATCCATTATCGCGATGGTGCACTTTTAAACCACCGACATGCAGCATCTGCATATGTAGGTGCATGTGTGTGTATTGTATTGTATTGTATGTATGTATGCAGCCGTATGTATTGGAAGCATCTGCACGACGGTTGAAAACGCTCTGACGTCTCGGGCGTTGGTTGCAGCTTGTTTATTGACGCCGCTTTCGGACCAACACCAAGTTTGTGTGTGTATGTATGTATGTACAACGGCGGGCTGGAGAGTGCGTTGGGGGATTGGATTGGATTGTCGATTGTTCCCTCAATCATGGAAGAAATGAGAGGATCCATCCGTCATCTCGTGTTGATTGCCATGACCCCGCAAGCCTTTCGGCGTCGACCGTACATACTGTACCGTCAGTTTCGAGGAGAGCCAGCGAGCGCACGCACCCTCTGAATACTTGACTTGACTTGGGTTCCGGGGAT